CGTTTTATTGTATTTTACGTAATGCAGTTTTATGACACCTAATCATAAAAGCAATCTTTAGTTTTCTTACTATAAAGGTAGATAGACTACCCAAGTAAGCACATAAAGATATCATGAAAAATGAACTGCGATTTACCTTGTAAGTTAAAGGTTTTGTTTACCTTTAAAAGGCAATCTAAGAACCCATCTTACACATGATGGCGAAGAAAAATTCTTTATATTTTTCGCCAAACCCCGGACGGAGGGCGGGTTCCGTGTTGTGATTGATTTTACGCAATATTCGCCGGCCACGTCGCGATCTTTAGGCACTCGCAAAGTAAACTCAATTCAGGAAAAAGGCAACCAAGGAGTCGAGGCCCTTTTTGCCTCCATTACTATTAATGCAATAAAAGTTAAAGCAAATCTTTGCTTTACTTAATCCAAAATTGAAATCACTTACACTTTAACAACTCATAATTAAAACATATGATTAAACATTTTAACCGTTTCAGTATTTCCAACGAATACTGTAATATCAAAATGGCATAAGTATAGAATACAATACAAAATGCTAAATAGTAAACGATGGCAAAAATAATAATATCATTATTAATGTTCGAACAAATAAAATGGGAACCTAAATAGACATTCTATACAATTGACACTTCCATAGACATTCCTCAAAGGAAGTTATTATGATATTAAGATAACTTATAATTATATTTCAAATTTATCTCGAGATATTTTGCAAGTTGACGACATTTGTTTCTCAGTAAACCAAAATTCAAAATGAAGCATGGATAGTCCCTGTGAAAGGCAAAGTTCTGAACTTAATTCCAAATAACGACCTTGAAGTTTTAAACAACTTTAATACTGTATAAATCAAGTTAAAGTTTCAGTAAACGATTATAACGGTTCACTGCGAACTATTATCAATTTTGATTAACGTGTAGCAATTTCCTTTGTGATTTCGATTAAAGGTTAACTAGCAAAGCAAACCGGTGCAATGAGAAAGAAATACTCAGTAATATCATTAGGTGCAGCTCTATTACAGTAGTTCCGCAATCCTACGAGGGCACGTAAAACTTTACGGTCAACCCGACGAACGCGCTGTGATAATCGAATGAAATTCCGCCGTATGTACTCGACCGGGCGGCCGCTATAAAATGTCATGACGAATATTTTCAAATGGCCCCACGTAAATGGCAGTTATGGATTCTAGCTTAAACTGTTTTGATGTCAGCCTTCAACCGTCACTTTGGTATAAATTGATTTAAAGCAGCAAACTAATTATCTTTGAATCGACAACATGTTTTTTGTGAAATATTACAGTTTATTTTGTTTTACGACCTAACCATAAGATATACACATGGGTATATTGTGGATACGTATCATAAAAGAATTGAATGATGATATTACAAGGACCTTGCAAACTCCCATCGTCAACCGGATACAGTAATGGGTATATAATCTGTAACGTTATGTGCACTATGCGGTTGAACTGCCGCAGTTTCGGTGTCGATAAAATGAAAATTCTTCAAGAGGAAAATTTCTCGAGGTATATAACCTGCGCTAAAGTTGATCGTTTCGAGATACATGTTTAGTTGTTAGCTAACTCTTTGCTTAAATCCGGGGAAGTTTCATAACTCGACTGAGGGGCGGCCCCGAATGAGGTGTTAGGCTCCTGTACTATAAATATTATTTATTGCCTCCTACGAAAGCTCTGGGAATTCGAAACACGAAAACATTCTAGAAGATATCGTTTCATCTATATTCAAGTTAACTTATAAAGTTAGGGTAAGCTAAAAAGATGTAACTATTAGACATGGAACTTGTCAGTATATCAATGAAAGGAGTTTCTCAAATAGGGTTTATGGGTTTACTATTATAGGAAAAGTCAAACATATCAAGTGGAATTAAATTGGTGCTCGGCATGTGGTGTGCAATTTAACTTTTTTTTTATTTCGGTCCAATCACACTCCTAACGAGCTCCAGTAAAGCAATTTTGTTCAGTGAATACAGATCACATTTGGAATAATAGGGGTCGAAACTGGAACCATTCCAATCTCTTTGGGGTGATCTGTAGTTTAGCGCCATTTTTGGTATACCATTTGTACTAGTTTAGTATAATTACTGAAACGTTAATTACAATGTGTTTAATCGTAATTTCTATTTTATTCATGTCAGTTATCAATTAGAATTTGTAATCATGACGAAAAAGTAAGCAACAGCACACGTTTTGAAAAGGTGCGTAACACTAAACCTGATATAAGAACTTAATGAAAACTATGTCACCGCGCCTATGCGGTCTACCTAGTAGAAGAACAAGCATGGTGTTATTATAAAACTGATACATACAGATCAAAGTTTTTGTGATGCACCAGTCTTTTACTATGCTGTCGATTCGTTTTAAAAACATCCTTAAAACAAATTAATAGTAAAGATTGGCACATTTCCATTGGTGATAGGCACCCCATTAAAGAGACTGCAGTGCTATTAGCCTCGGCCAACGTTTTCCCCACAATCTCTTTCGTGTCGACATTTTATTATCGGTAGAGTCAGCTCTGTTGTAATCCCCGGCAAGCGGTACAATTTACGATTTATAAAACCGTCATTTTCTGTTGTAAAGCAAAACGATAAAGAGAAATATTAGGTTGGACTTGGCGATGCTCACCTTGTTTCCCATCACCCTTTTATTTTAATATCCTCTGTTATTAAAAAGTTAATCCGAAAATAATACTAACAGACGCTCACTCTCTATTATTATATCCTTGTAGCAAACCAAAAAATGTGTACAGTTCCGGTATATGCGATAACATGACATAAACCAGACCTGACATTTTTGGTTGCTAGATAGTGGTTTGTAAAACCCGAAAACATCCATTCTAGGTTATTTTTACCTACACAAATTATATCAGACTCGTTTCTACTAGCAGCTTCGCCTGTGTTCACATGGGATGAAAATATGTATTGTGCTAGACCACAATGTACCCTTGTCTCAAATTTCATTTCGATCCCTTCAGCCATTTTTGAGTGAAAGAGTAACAAAAACACACACATACATCCTCAGAAACTTTCTCATTTATAAAATTAGTAATATTGTTTTCACACATCATCATCCTTCGAATGCCGTCATTTATTGAACCAACTTAGTAGATGTTTTTTATGGGATGGTCCGGTAGGTAAACGAGCAGGTAGGTATGTCACCTGAGCAGTCGGCGACAGTCATGTACGCCCGCAACTCCAGAAAAGTTAGTAGTGCGATGCTGGCAGCAAATTACTATTTTTCTATCATATTTATATTTATCTATGTGCACATTATTGAGTATTTATGATAAGAATGCATAAAGTTCGTAACCTGTACAATATACTTTTGGTATTGCAAATAAAAAATTGTACATAAATCTTTGGAGTACCAGTGTACTATGTTAGACTCATGAAAGAAGGACTCTGAAGCTTTGAAGAGAAAACCTTGCTAAAATGTGTAGTGGTAACCGTTGGGAATTCAGCACGTATGTTGCTAGATGTCACGTGCTCGCTAAAACTATTCTTGCAATGCGCTTAAAAACCACGTGTCTAATGAACACAAACCCGACTACCTTTTTACTGTAAGTGTCCATAGAAATGTGAACTGATAACATTCATATAACTTAGTTATTTATTTACTTTAAGCCACTCTAAAGACAATGCCCATTTTATCCAACTGTAGGAAGGTACTTTTACTTTTTTACTGAATAATGTACATCAGTAAGAATGTAATTGATGCAACTCTTATTTGATACATCAATTTTGCCTAGCGTTGCATAATAAAAATTAATCACGACCGGATAATACACTAGATCTTTACAATAACTGCAATAGTTTTGAAGTTACGTTATTTGTCAAAAGAATGACCTCATTTTTTTTTTTATTTATATGGCTCTGGACCCCACACTGGGATTCCCTGTGTCGACTTTTAATTATCATTATGTGGGTAGTATATTATCATAATAATTAATTGCATTTTACAGAACATATAGTAGTCACAATCAAGTGAGCATGCGTGCAAGTCAAGTCATACATAGTTTTCTATAGACTAGACTGCGGATGACAGCTCATCTATCGACTGTGAGATTCACAATGGCTCCGCTATGGTACCTCCATTAGTAGTCATTCACACAATACGAAATGATTCTGTACTCTTGTTTTTAGCATTGTGCGTGTAATGACTGGTGATGGTATAAAATGGCGTGGTGGCGACATCAAATGGTTTTTGTGAACAATGTCAGTAACAAAATATCGTTCTCGACATGTTTTAACATTCTGTAGATAAGTAAGCTTAAAATATGTAAATTGCGAACTGTTGCCCGCGATCTCGTTCACGTAGAAACTTCTTTCCCATAGAAATAGTAACTTATACAGTGATAAAAACAGCATATATGCTAGTCTACACTTATTTGTTATGATTTTTACCTGGATTCGTTTAACCATCTTGCTGTGATTGGAAATCAATATCAGTAGTAACAAATCCTTATCCTTACTAATATTATAAATCTGAAAGTGAGTTTGTTTGTTTGTTCCACCTTCACGCCGTAACTACTCAACCGATTGCTTTGAATTTTTGAAGACGTAAAGTTAGAAGTCCGGATTAAATACTATTATTTACCGATTTTTACCGGATTAAAAAGTACCCTATGGTACTTTTTAATCCGGTAAAAATTGATATTCACGAGGAAAAACAAAAGTATTGGTATAGATGGCGCTGTGTGTATTGGTATATATCACATAGGCTACTTTTTATTCTTTTATGACGCGTGCGAAGCCGCGGATAAAAGCTAGTATTACATAAAGGAGTACTTAAATTAAAAAAACGGTATTATCGAAATTTTGTCTGACGTTATTGGATTTCCACAATCATTTGGCTGTTGACAAATCAAAGACTACATTACAATCATGCATTACTTTAACAGACCATTTTAAGTCATATTCGGTAACTACTTAATTTAATGAATGAACAAATGCTTAAATAAATAAGTACTTACCATCATGCGAGTCATACATGTAAATGATTTCCTTCCATCCATAATACAGTATTGTGTCCACGATAGCTTTATGGTAATCCGGTCGCATGCTCACAGCGTGGTCGATTAGACCCGACGATGGTGGAATGACCTGTGAAACAGAATAGTTTAAATTGGCACATCGTGGCTGAATTTGTAATAAATAATTAAGTTTTAATAATTACATTGATCTGACTACAGTATAAATTATAGGTACATAATAACAAAAACGCAATATAATATAACATTCTCGTGGAAACTTACATCAACATATTTTTTTTAAATAAACCCGTGTATTAAATTGAATATGTGCGATTTCTGTGTAAAAGATAAAAATTGAATCAGAATGGGTTTGTCAGCAAAATCCTTCAAGCACTCGTTGGGAACAGCTGAGTTTGCCATGCTCAGACCATTTATATTCATCAAAGCTAGCAGTGGATCGAGTCAGTCAGTTTTAGTGAGACCAAGTGAAAAACTATGACATTTTCAGTCCCAGTAAACGTTTATTATTATCTACCATGAGTATAAAGTAAATGTATAGAGTGCTTTAATTATGCCCCTATATTTAAGGATTCTTCTAAAGATATTTGCAAACAACCTCACTCAAGTGTAATAAATACGCCTTAATAAATAATAGCTTCTAAAGGCGACTAACTTATTAAATTGATAATGTAGGTGAACGAACTTTCGTAATATAGGTTTAGTAGTTTTAGAATTACTTGTGAAATTATAAGTGTAGAAATCTCGAGTTTGACTCTTCTTGAATTTACTATGATAACTTGCCTTTTAATTATACAGAACAACATCATTCCCATAGAAACTTGTAATAAAAACCAAAATATTTGTGGTTTAGTTATTTAAATGATTGCTTATTGTTATCCTTTTAGTTCAATCCCCGAAAATTTTTGAAAAAATACGAATATTTGCCATGAGAATGATGTTATTAACAAACATGAAATAGAGCTATAAAAAATCTTATATTCATACAAAATATGTTCATACCTTTTCAGGGAACCACGGAGTGACAAAAGGCATTTGGAATGTGTTCGTGTAGGAGTGCAGAGTGTCGAAGGATTCCGGAGTGACCGCACCGAGCATAGCGAACACGCCCCGCGCGAACTGGTTGCATACTGTACAAATAATTTAAATTCCTAAGTACCGCCTCGAAATGTTGCACATATTTCACAAACTACACTGTTTATGGTTTTCTGAGCTTTGATCCCAGTTGCATGACTTCTAACATAGACATTTATGACATTTCTGGCAGAAAGTGGATGTTACATTGTAATGTCGGAGAGTGCGTTTCAAGTGTAAATGACAGGATGCTTTTAAGTTTCAACCCAGTACCCAAACATAACAATAACATATTTTATTCGCGATCCACCCTCCGAACTCTGTATCGCTTCAAAATCTATGACAACATTAACAAAATATGTATAGATACATACATACAAACATACATATCTTCACGCCTGTCTCCCATGGGGGTAGGCAGAGAATATGGAACGCCAATTGCTACGTAATCTATAGATAATTACAATTTTTTTTTGTACAATATCAGTTTTTGTTTACATTTATTAATGAATCAGTTAAAAAGAGACCAAATGCGAACAGCGTTGAACCTAATACTAGTTTGCTTTTAGGTACTTTATGCACACATATGTACCTATATTATGTACCATCGTAGACTGCATCATCGCTTACCACCAGACGAGGTAGAAGACAACCGTTAGGTAATTACCTAATACACGAAAACCTCCTAGGTGTAACAAACACTTTTCTGAAAATCGCATCCAAAGCGGTTCCGTCAATCGTGAGATATTCGCTCACAATCATATATATATACATACATACATGATACATACATCGTCAAACTGAGAACCTCCATTTTTATTTTGTAGTCGGTTAAAAAGAAAACATTTTCATTAGACAGGTCTGTCAAAGACTTTTAAAACGACTCCTGAACTCCCAATGGGTATGAATAAAAAAGTACGTTGTTCAAATTTGCTACCAAGTAACGAATAAAACGTTAAAGATGGCTAAAACGGATTAAATAAGACAATTCACTTTATTTTCAAGTTCATTAAATTTAGCTTCTCTGACAGGCTTTTAAAGTAATTGAGTTAGGGTGCAATTACAATGGTAGAAGGTGCGCTAGCTGGCTGAGTGTCTATTAATAATAATAATTCTAGATAATTTGTTTACATTTTTTATGATTAAGTAGAAGTGCGACTTACATTTTTTCTTATAAATGTAGTTTTGGTACTTATTCCTTTATTTTTCAAAGTTACTTATTTGTTACCGGGTTGGATTGTCACCCCTGTCACATAGGTAACACAGTTCTTATCCAACAGATCAACCTCCGGCCGGATTTATGGTATTACCACGCAGTTGTATCTCTACCTCTAGACTTATTACTTACTTACTTAAGGGCACCCTGACATATATGGTAAGGTTAAATTAATAATATAGTGATCCTTTCACGCGTGAGACGAGCGAGCGTAGCGAGTGTGCATCGTACACTACCTACATCATTTAGCCGCCATATGTACAAAAATGAATGACTTAATGTACCCAAATATAAATTCTAGAACTAAGTGTAATGTAAGTACAATAGGAGGAATAGATATTTTTATTTGTATATTCTCATAAATGTATACATTATTATTAAATATACAAAAATCGCCAAACTGTTACCAGTTTGTTGGCGATAATGGCGCTCTTAAATATTATTTATTATGCACATATTATATTCTTTATATAATATTAGAAGTATTTTACATTAAATCTATTATATGTATTACCAATTATTATTGAATGACAAAAATATTATTAATTTTATTAATACTCATATCTTAATAAAACTATTTCTATTACATATGAGTATCTTATACTTTTAGGTAGTAGTTTTTAAGTCTTTTTTTAAATAAAGCATCACTTATGTTATCTTTGGACGCGTTTCTTATAAAATCTATGTTGTTAAATATTGTTGGAGTTAAATATCGCCTAGTCCTTTTACCATAATAATTTTTCACCTGAGGTATTACAAATTTTCCCTGCACAGCACTCCTAGTCTTATATTTGTGATTTATTGGCTCTTTGTGTTCATTTAAGTTGTATTGCTCCATGGCTATGAGGTAATCTACTTTATCATGCACTGGTATTATATTACAACATTTTAATAATTCTTCATAATTTTGTTTATATTTTAACTTTACTTTTTTGCTAACAAGGTACTTACTCAGTCTAATTTGTAATTGTTTAATTAAATCTAAATGTGTTTTGAATGTTAGTCCGTAACTACTTAAACCATAGCCAATCAATGAGTCTGCAAGTGCGAAATATAAAACATATAACAGTTTCCTACTAACAAATCTACTGAGGTGAAAGAATTTACCCAGAATGGATTGCAGCTTACCACATACATCGTTAATATGTAATTTCCAATTTAAATTACTGTCTACTATTAATCCTAAATATTTATATTTGTCTACTATATCTATATTTGTACAAAGGCATCTATATTTATCACTATGTAAACATTCGTATGTATGACCGGTTATGTGTATTTGTGCTTGATTTTTATAGTTACTATATGAATAGCTAACTCTAAGTCTTACGACAATTCTAATCAAGAAGTTTTATATCTCTTAGGTAATAGTTACTAACATATGTAAATAAAGGCGAGGCTACGACAAATATATTATTTATTCCTGTCTCGCATATTTGTATGCGTTACCAAAAATAATATTACACCATGCCTCAGGGAAGGCCGTAAACAAAAATAAAACAGTTCAAGAAAATTGACATTTACCGTAACATAAAACCCCACAGCGGTGAAGCGTCATCTCTATTTCCATCGAGACGTAATAGATTAACACAATAACAAAAACAAAACGAATTCCACACGAATTTCGAGAATAATAATGACATTGGAATGAAAATATTCGTATTGAAACACTCTTTATTACATTGCTATTGAATTCTGATTTTTACGCAATGCTGACGATTTTTATGCGTATTCTACTATTTAAATCAAAATTTATAGTAACTTGCATTTATTTAACACGTTGCACTGTTTATTAATAATTGTATTTAGTAGTTTAGCAATGCATCTGTAAAGTAGGGGATCGCAGTACCTTTTTATTATTTATAGGCTGCCAAAAAAGCAGGTTGCAGGTTCCCGCACGGAACAAATCTTTCTTAATTTGCAGAGAAAAATGTTGCGGGTCTGATGTGCAAATGAAATTGTGTGTTTGTAAACGCACCCACGATACAACAGAAAGTACTAGAATGAAGCAAAGTTAAAAAGAATGTCTTTGAAGTAGGCACACAGAGTAAATAGAAGTAAAAATGAACACTGAAATAAACCAAATTAAACTATATTTATTTACTTTATTAGTATAATAGACATTACCTAGTTAGTTAGGACTAGTATTTATATAGTAAGAAATAACAGACAGCTACATCAATTATCTTTTACAAACAAGCCGTCGAAGGTTATTAATGACAAGTTCTAATAAAATAATAATACTCTGTCATTTCGATACAATTTTGGGGCTATTATTCTCTATGTACATTTTTCTTATCTATTAATTAGGTAGGCTGGGTAGTCGTTAGAAATCATTGCGTTGTTGTATCATTTATATATGAAGAATTTTTTCCTAGAGCGGAACCATTGCGATTTTTAGCGGCATATTTTTATGAAACAAGAAACCGAATTCGAGCCAAGCAATCACATATTTAGGCAGATTCGTTTCTGAGACTGGCCTTTACGCATGACCATTTTGGCAATCAAATAGTATATAATAAATAATATTCATTATAATCTTCCGGAACAGATTTTTGAACATCATTTTCCAAAATTTTTATTAAAGCTAAACGACAATATTAAAAGAGCCTAAATGAATTATCCATAAGGCGCAATTTACTTGTTGAATATCACAACGCCACCTTTTCATTGAAATTTAATAAGTTTATAACCCACAGTTTATTAGCGGTAACTTTATTAAAACGCGGCGCGTCTCCGTTGTTTCATATTTTCTGTGAAATTTTATCGCGACACCGTCCATTAAGGTTAAGACATTGATTGCTTATAATATCTTTTACCACAAAGACTTTTAAATGAAACCTTCAAGAATTATTTGAATGATATTTTAATACGATATTATGAAACTAACTACAACGTGGTTCGTTAGATCCACGTCTGATTGTGCTTTGTTGTATTTAATTTCCATGTTCTAGTTTTTTGGTAGATATTTCACACACTTTTTATTATTAGTAGTAAACTGTCAAACACCGCGAGGACACCGGTGACCGCAACCTATTGTTCTTTAAATGTGCCTATAATGACGGTACTCAAAGGGTAAGATTTTTACGGAATTATTAACATATTATAATTATTATTTCGTTTACAGTTTCAGTCAATATACGAGCCTGGGGTGAATTATAATAAAATAATAATCTAGTCAAAGAATGAAACATAGTGCTTGCAAATAATAAAAGTATTGTTATGGCAGGTAAGATAAAACCTTAGTATTGCATATGCAACTAGCTACTTTCACGCAGTTTCACACGCTCTGCTCAGCTCCTACTGATCGTAGCGTGATGTTTTATAGCCTATAGCTATCCTCGATAAATGCACCATCCAACACAAAAATATAATTATTCAAATCAGACTTGTAGTTACGGAGATTAGCGCGTTCAAACAAACAAACAAAAAAACAAACTTCCGCTTTATATAATAGTTATAAGATTAATTCGAGGATCTTATGAATACCTAAACCTTCCGACAATTGTATCATTTGGCTTATCTATTGGTATTCTCGAACTTTGCGCTTAGTATTAAACTTTGCAATTCAGCTTTACAGCAAAAATCGTTTAAGAAAACATAGCTTATTTTAACATACGTTACAAGAAAATTATGTAGGTACATCGACTAACGCATTCAAACTACAGTCGACATAACTTACGTAAGCAATTTGTCGTAATCTATGATAGAGCCTTGATTTAATTCATGTCTAGCCTACCAATCACATACATTACACACACATAAGACTTAGTAGAATCAAGATGTCTCATGATCACGTTACATGAAGCCGTGTGTAAATCACTTGAATTATCTGATCAA